AGATCTCCAGTGCTGCCCCTGGTGAGCAGGCCCAGCCTCCCCACAGTCAGCGACCTGGCCAGGTGTGAGCATGGGTGGCAGCAGGGCAGCAGGTGGCCCCGGGTTGGGGTCTGGAGCCCCTGCGTCCCGTCCTTGCCCCACGGCCCCGGCCATCCGTGCTGAGTCCTGAACCTCACCAGGCTCTTGCCCAGGAACTGTCCACATACAGGGGCTGGGAAGAGGGTGGGTGGTGAAGGCTGGCCTCGGAACACTCCCAGCCATGCCCACCAGCTACCACCAGCACAGCCCATCATACTGGGTCCTGCAGCCTCGGTTTCCCCACGCAGATCAGGGTTGTCCAGGAGTGCATGTCTCCCCAGAAAAGGTGGTGAGTCAGGTGGATGAGGCGAGAAGTGCTTAATCAGGACACAGCCAAGATGTTGGCTGTCCCTGTCGTCTAGGGCAGCTGGCTGTGGGGAAGGGGGTCTGCTCTGTAGAGGAGGGCCTGCTCCTGCCCCCAAAGCTTGGCCCAGCAGCCGGCTCTGGTGACCAAACGCTGAGGGGCCCAATCAGGAAGGACCCATCACGCCTGTAGGCCCACAACCCAGGGCGCCTGGCTGCCACCCAGCAGCCATAGGCCAGCCACCTCCCACTGCCCAAGTGACAGAGGCAAGAGGCACCTGCAGCAGACAGCTTGGTGGTAGCCTGTGCCTACCCCAGGGCCCCATCAGGCCCGAAGAAAGGACTCTGCCCAGTCACTGCAAAGGCACTGTAGGGTGTCCCAGGAGACAGAAGGCCAGTTCGTCATGACCCAGGGCCAGGGGAGCACACACACGGGGTCTGGGAACACGCGGCGCACATGCCTGCCACCTGCCAACCCCAGCCCGGACACTGGCTCCGCTCATTCAGGGCCTGGAGCCCACAGCAAGGGTGTTCAGTACGTTTGTGTCCTCCCCCAGGTCACCAGTCCAGCCTGCGATGCTCCACAGCTACAGGCGGGTGGGGACTGATACTGGGCGTCAGATTCCCCCAGAAGATGAGACAGTGCAGAGGCAGCTACCACGGCCCCACAACCTTGCATCAGCTTCATGCTGCACGCACCAGCCCACACACCGACCGGGCTCTGCTGTGCCCTCAGCCCTCCCAGGCCCCAAGCCCCACCCGCACCCCTCAGAGCCCAGGGTGCAGTCCAGCACCCTCAGCTGCTCTACTGACTTCCATCAGACCATGCCGGCTGGAACTTGCTTCCTTCCGCCGCAGCCTCCTACAATGCCGGCACTGCAGGCATCTGCCACCACACCAGCTTTCCATCGGCGTCACTGAATGGGGGCTGGTTCCCATGGACATCCAGGATTCCAACCCCAGTAGGAGAGCCCTGCCTGCCCCACAGGCCTCCCTGTCCTGCTGCAGAGGACCACTGGATCCCACAGGTTCCAGCCCCATGCGCAGGGTGCAGGAGCCTACACACAGCTGGCTGCCCTTGCCCACCCTCCTGGGGCTCCCTGTAGAACGGGACCTGACCTGGTGCAGACCTTCACAGGCTGGGTCCCACACTGGCCTGGATGCTGGGTGCTCCGAGCCCCGCCTCCTGTGGACTCTGTAGGCAGGGGCGGCCCCAGGGGCCTGTGGCAGGGCACAGCCTCTCCTCTATGTTTCTCCACACCATCAGGAGGTGCGGTGTCCAGGCTCCAAAGCCCTGGAGAGCCATGCTGTGAGTCTCTCTGTCCTAACCACATCACCACAGGGGCAGAGTCTCACGTGTCCCATCACACAGAGGAGCCCAGGAATCGGAGATCACTCCCTGCAGCTCCAGCCGACTTCGAAAGTCTCATCCCAGATCCACTAGCAGGTGCCACTTCTGTGGCCACTGACCTCATCCCTTCCTTCAGGAGACAGCGACACAGGGTGCAGATCACACACCAGTGGGGCTCCTCCCACAACACCCCAAGAGCACCCTCCACAGGCTGGCGGGGAACAGGAAAGCAGTACTGAAAGGCTCCTGCGAAAGGCCAGAGCTGCCCTGCTCTCAGTAGGACCCAGCCCACCGGGGAGGAGGGACCTGGCTCCAGAGGGTCCCTGAAGCTCCACGCCCCCAGAGATGCCCAGTGGGGCTTACCTCCCTCCCTGTGAGGTCCCACCCCACCCTCCTCCCACCTGGGCCGGGGAAGGCTGAGGCGTGGGCGCCTCCCCGTCTTCTCTTCCTCCTTCCTGGCTATCCCCATCACCTCCGAGATTGGGACAGTCCACACTGGGAAAGTCGTCTACCCATCTGCCAGATGGCTCCCAGTGCCCCACGGGCAGCACAGACCTCCCTCGGCAGTGCTATAGCCCAAGAGGAGCATATCAGTGCCCACCCACTGCCAGTTCTGGCTCCCCAGGGCAGCCCCTTGGGATATAGGCTGCAGAGGGGCTGCCACATGGGCGCAAGGAGCCAGGAAGCAGGGGGAACAGGCAGCAGTAACAGCCGGCGCTGCAGACCTTGATGTCCCTGTGCACGGGCAGGGAGGTGGCCCCTCTGACACCTGCTCTGGGCCCAGACGCCATGCCAGGCTTGACCAGGTGTGCTTGGGCACTGAGCTGCCTGAGGCTACCTCCTGGAGGGGCTAGAGCTGGCTCCAGACATGGCCACCTTGACCCTGTGGCTCAGAGGGGCAAAGCAGCAGGACGACACAGGGCGCGGACCTTGAGCCAGACTCGTGGCCCAAGGCCAGTCCTACTGCCACTGTGGAGTGACCTTGGCAAGGTGCTTGACTTCTCTAGACTCCTCTCTCACCCGCATGACAGGAACAGGGTCCCATGCTCCACATGGCCGAGTTGTGGTGTGATCAGCGAAAACAGTGGCCTCCCCAGCACAGGCACAGGGAGGGCAAGCGCCAAGCTGAGACCACACAGCTGGCTCTGGGAAGGAAACAACTAAAACTGGTCTTCCTGCAGTGTGCCTGGGGTCGTCCAGGCTTCAAAGATCTTCCGGGGTGCCCTCCCTTCCCAGCCGGACCCTACCAGACTGGTCCAGTGAGCATGAAGGGGGCCACAGAGCCCCACTGGCAGATGCCATCCCCACCTACCCTGCTGTCCCTTCTCAAGACCAACTATTGGGAGGCAAGCCCTTAACAGGGAGCAACTAAGGAGTCAAGGGAGGTAGCGTGGGCAGTTGGCAAAGGCAAGTGGGTGAGAGCTCGGATCCTGGAGCCCACACTGGGAAGCTGGCAGCGGCACGGGCCTCCACCTGCCATCCCCCGGCCACAGGTTTCCGTCCCCATCCCCCAGACAGCTCCTGCACACAGCGTTCACAGCATCCCCCCAGGTGCACTACCCTTCAGCACCTCAGTCTATCTCTATGTTCCCCGCAGTTCAGCTGAGATAGGGTGGGGCAGAAGACCCAGGTTCGAGACCCACTTATGTCACCTGCTGCTCCCCAGGGCCACCTGGCTTCTGAGTCTTGAGGTGCTCATCTATGGAATGGGGGTAAGAAGGCTCAGAGGACACAAGAAGGAACACCTGGGAAGATTTGCTTTAAGAATGGCACTAGTCCAAAGTCCCTCGAGCTTCCCCTGAGAGTCGACACCAGCCTGCATGTTTCAGCCCCCACACCTGAGCCAGCAAGGTTCTCTGTCCCCGCCATGTCCTCTCAGTGAAGGTCACAGCCTGCATCTCACTGGCCCCAGCACACGAGCAAACCGGGGAAGACCTGTCTACTGCCTGGCACCCATGGAACACCTCACATCCCTGAAGCCCCGACTACCACACAATGCTGTCCCCATACCCAGACACACAGTGAGAACCACCACATCTTAAGTGAATATGCCCCGACGTGCAGTGACATCATGAAGGTTCCACTCTGCAGAAAGTGCTTGGCCTGGGGGCACGGACATGTTCCCAGTCCTAACCGCCACGTCCCATCCAGGTGGGGGTGTATTTTCAGCTCCCAGCCAAGGAAGCTGACAGGTTCCCGATAGTATCCAAGCAGTCTGACAGCTGGTGGCGTGGCCATGGGAGAGGGCAGTTAGAACCAGGATGGCCCTGCTGCAGGGCCTATGGTCCTCCCCTGGCACAGCGCCAGCCTTTTGGGGACCATGGTTCTTCTGATTCTCAGCAGCACCAGTGAGCTAGATGGCCACACACCACAGATGAGAGGCATGGCAGCACAAGACATGTACGCACCAACAGACGCGCAGTCCTGAACAGGACAGGGACTCTGTCCTCAACCTGTGTCCCTCTGCAGCCTGTGGCCAGCAGCTACCACTAATTACAGGCCTCTGCAAGCCACATGGCCCACTGTGTAGGCGGAGATCAGGTAGGAGAGGGGCTGCCATGTCCATCTGTGTCCCTGCTCCTCGGGGGCTGCCCCCTGGGTAAAGCCAGACCCTAGTCTCTGAGTCCAGGGCACCTCCAGGAAGGCAGCACCTTGGAAGGCGACTGGGACCCACCACCCCACAGGCACAGCTGACTTGCACAGAAGGACTTCCTGCTGCCGCCAGGACGTCTGTGAGGTCCCTGTCTCCAAGTCCTACGCCCCCACGTCCCACGCCCCCACGTCTGGAAATCTGTTGCCATCTGCTGTTAAACCCCAGAAAGTCTCAAATGAGAAGCATGAACTTGGGTAGAAAACTCTGGAAGAGCTCAGTGAGCAGCCGAGAGAGAGGGGCTCGGAGAGACCTCTCAGCAGCCTGCATCATGGCATCGATTGCCAGTGTTATTGGGCAGGTGACAGCCACCATACTCCCAACTTCCTGTCTGATGGATTCCATGGCCAACATGCCCAGTTCCAGCACACAGCCTCCCGCTCCCACCGTGCGCTAATCTTCCTCCACACCACTCCTGGGCCCTGTGCTGCTGAACCCCTGCCCCAGGCTTCTGAGGTCAGCAGGGTCAACACACCCAAGGGCATGCCCAGGGACCCTAGAAGGGCACCTTCTGCTGCAACAGACCACACAGAACCAGAATAACCAAAACCATCTCTCCCTTCTCCATGCACACTTCAGAAGGTTCTAAACCAAGATGAACACAAATATGCTGCTTACCTTCCTTGCTGTGGCTACCGGGGAGCTCCACCCCATGGGCCCCGTGCGAGTGAGCCCTTGGCCTGCACACACCAGAGTCCCACACTCCAGGCAGGCACCGATGATCAGCTGCCGCCCATCGTCCACCAGCAGGCTGTGGCTGGCTCGTAGGGTGTACAGAAAGAGGGGCAGGCGGGCCACTCGCACTGACTTCAGCCCCAGGCAGCGTCGCTTCTCCTGCTGGCAGAAGAAGCACACGAAGGTGTCCACCTGGTACTGCCGGGACCAGGCGCTGACGGTGTGATGCACACCCTGGGCTTCGTGCTGCAGCCACTGGCCCAACAGGTCATGGTAGCAGAGCACACAGGTGGCCACCAGGCCGGTGGCATCAGCGGGCTTGGCGCGTGGGGCAGGCGGGTACACCGTAAGGAAAGGGAAGAAGGGCTCCTTCTCGCCCAGGCGGCTGGCAGGGTTCACATTGAGCTGGAATTCTCTGCCAGGGCCCAGCTCGGCCCCACAGATGTAGCACACAGAAGCCAGGCCACTGGGGGCCGAGGCAGGGGGGTCGCAGATGGTGGGGTCGGAGGCCGAGAAGGCCTGGTGGTAGCGGCCCAGGAAGCCCTGTACGGAGGTGATGAGCTCCTGGTTCTGACAGGCCCGGTACAGGGCCCACACATCCTCCAAGACGCTGAAGCACTTGGGGCAGCTTCGGACCTCAGACAGCTTGTTGGGGGCGCGGGCGTTGGGCGGGCATGGCAGGAGGCTGAGGAACGGAAAGTGCATGGTGCCACGCGTACTGCCATTCAGGATGCGGGAGGGCACAGCCCGGGCATCCGGGGTGCAGTCCTCGCCACACAGGTAGCAGGCCTCAGGGAGGGCCAAACCACTAGGGCCCTCCTCCCTGGGGGGCTGCCGGCCCTTGGAGGCCATGCCGGGGGCGTGGCTGTTCAGGGGCACCACGTACAGACGCTGTAGGACAGGCACCCCTGCCAGCTCGAAGCTCTGCCACTGCTGCCGGAGGGACGCAAAGCAGCAGGGACACACGAGTGTGCTGCCCGCCTCGTTGATGGGCTGTGCGCCAGGCGGAGGGCTGTGCAGCCACAGGAAGGGAAAGAAGGGCGCTTGGGGCAGCCGCTCCTGCTTCTGCACGTGGACCTCGTGCTGGGAGGCCGGTGACAGCACTGACCCACAGATGTAGCAGCAGGAGCCCTCTGGTGACACCACCTGGCTCTCTGGGACAGCCCGTAGGATGTGGCCAGCTTTGTCCTTCTCTCTGGGGATACAGGGGTCCTTTGCAAGCTGCTCCTGAGTGTCTTCTTCCTCACTGGTGATGTTGATGTCACTGTCCTCCGAAGTGCTCTCTGGGGGCCCAGTGGTTTGGCCTGAGGGAGCTCCGTCCACACCCCCTGAAGTGGCGGCTTGAGCAGGGTGGCCCTGCCAAGGGTCCTGGATTCCCCTCAGGACGCTGGCCCGGGGCTCAGGAGTCCAGTGCCTGCCAAACCCCTTGCGCCGGCGTCGGACTGCAGGCTGGGGTTCCACGTCCGCGCGGAGCCTCGAGGAGTCTTCTGTCTCCGCGCGCGCGCGCGCGGCGGGCTCGGCGCCCCGGCCCGGCGGGGGTCCTGGCACAGGGAGCGCGTCCAGACCAGGGCTGATTGCAGCGTTGCGCGAGGCTGGGTCTGGGTCTGGCTCTGGCTCCGGTTCTGGTTCCGACGGGGGCTCGGGGTCTGACAGCTCCGACAGCTCGGAGTCGCGCGCGTCCTCGGCGTCGGGCGCGCGGGGCACGGGACCGTCGTCCGCGTCGTCGCCGCCGTCCCACTCACCGAGCCCCGAGCCCCCGCGCCCCCTCGCGCCCGCGCCCGCGTGGCACTGGTGCGGCCGCTTGAGCCAGTACACGCGCTGGTCCACGGGCGTGCGCGCGCGCTCGAAGGCGGCCCACTGCTCGCCCAGGAAGCAGCGGCACACGGCACACACCAGCACGCAGCCGTCGGCCGCGCTCAGTCCGCGCGCGCCGGGCGCCGGCTCCTGGCGCAGCAGGAACGGGAAGAAGGGCCGCGCGGGG